CATTACAAAACCAATGTCATGGGCTGGAGTTGTAGATCAGTTGTAGAGTACTTGACTAGCACATGCAAGGCTCTGGTTCGATCCTTAGCACCACATTAAAAATAAAAGAAAACCAGAAAACGAGGTCACAGAGTTTTCCTATGCTATCTTCTAGAACTCTTGTACATCTAGGTCTGTAATCTATTTGAGTTAATTGTTAAAGGGTTTAATATATGGGTCTAGGTTCATTTTTCCATGTGGACATCCAGTTGTTTCAGCATCATTTGTTAAAATGATGAGAGACTGTCTTTTCTCCATTTAATCACTTTCTCTCCTTTATCAAAGATCAGTTGACTATACTTGTGTGGATCTATATCTCTAACCTGTATTTCTGTTGAATGGATATATTTGTCTATTTTTCTCCAATAATGCATTGTCTTGATGATTACTTATCTTTATAGTAAGTCTCAAAGTAAGGTATAATCTTTATAATCAGTTTGTCCATATCTACAAGATAAGTTGCTGGCATTTTGACAGGGATTTCATTGAATCTATAAATCAAGCTGGGAAGAATCTTGTATCATAAAACTATTGACTCTTGATATTCAGAAACTTGAATTACCTCTCCATTTACTTATAACATGTTTGACATATCATCAGAGTTGTGTAGGTTCCTCATACAGATGTTTTACATTTCTTGCTGGATTTGAACCTGAGACTTTCATTTTTTTAAATTAATTTATTTCAATTAGGTATGTATGACAGCAGAATGCATTTTGATTTATTGGACATAATTGCAGCACAACTTTTAATTTCTCTGGTTGTGCATGATGTAGAGTTGCCCCATATGTTCAGTCATACATGTACCTAGGATAATTATGTCCATCTCATTCCACCATACTTCCTACCCCCATTCTCCCTTCCCACATATCATCTCCCTCCCCTTTGCCCAATCAAAGTTCCTCCATTTTTTCCATGCCCCCCCCCCGCGTTAGGATCAGCATCCTCTTTTTTTGTTGAGTCAAATTATTTTAACAGTTTAAAAAGTAATCTTTGTGTGGTATTTAGACCGGCAGCACCAGCAGCACCTGGAAAATTGTTAGAAATGCAGGTTATACTGGGAATTAAATATGGAAATACCAATGTTTATCAGTATTCTTTTTTATTAGGACCATGAGGGTAAGGTGGGAACTCTGTAGAGAATAACAAAGTAATCTACCTTCTGTTTCTCTTGTGGCATAACTTTAATTAACATCTCAGTTTATGAAACTCATTTATTCCAATAATAAGAGTAATTTTTATCAATCATCCATCTTTCTTTTCAACAGAGGATTTTGACTTTTCAGAATGCTGCTCCCATTTTATCTAGGCTCCTAGAGAAGCAGGTTTGAAAGCAGAATTTTGATGTAGGGAAATTGGAGAATTAGACTCTAATTCTAGCTTGGCCCCTAAGTTACTTATTGACTACAGACTAATCATTTTGTTTCTGTGTGTCCCCTTTTTCTTATTTGTATAGCGTGAGAAATTCTCCTTACCTTTTATGGTTATTATAAAGTACACATTATAATATAGTAAATATATTAGTGTTTGTAAAGGGAAAACCTGTCAATTCTTTAAGCATCATTTTTAGTTATCTTTGGTTATTCTTAAGATTTTCCACATGTGGAAATGTGACTTGAGAAATTTCCTAGCTTAAGAAATTGGCTAAGTGTACTAAGGAGAGACCAATGTGGGTGGTTTCTCTGAAACCTCATAGATGGTCCCCTAGCTGATCCAAACTCTACTAAATATTCTCTTCTCCCCAGAGAGTTTGTGGATGGCTGCCCATGTTGTTTTCAGAGGCATTCAACCCCATTTTCATTCAGATGCCACTAGATGCTCAGCTGTACTGCTCTTCAGCTCTTATTGTTTCGTGATCTCTTTTATTTATCCAATAACAAAACTCTAAAATATTGAAGGAGAATATTCATCTTTTGAGATGTTGTTTTTCTCACCCTTCTTGCTGGCTCTTTACCACATGACTGACTCACTTGTTTCTGTCTTTAATTATGTGCACCCTTTTGTTCCCTACATTTTTTCAATCATGTATTGAGTGTTTGCTCCCCATTTCCCACTTAATTCCAAGAATGTTGTGAAGGTTAATAGGAGCTTTTCACACCATGCCAGGAATTCATTGCTTGATGGCACCTTTCCCTTTTCTGAGGACCCATGAGTCCTCTACCACAATCTGTATGATATGAGAGGTGTTTAAAAGTTGTGCATCCTTTTTAAATTCAGATTCTAAAATGACTTGTAATAACAGCAAAGGTTCTATGGCCCTAGAATGTGAAAATGAGCAGAGCCTCATTATTTCCATAAATAAATATAAAATGTGGCAGGAATGATGGTGGGAAGAATTGCAGAACATCCCAGCTGTGATGTTCTTCATGGTACTCTGGGGGAGGTTGTATTATCTCAGAGGTGACCTTTTAGTGTCTGTGTGGCAGATTTCCTGTATAAAGAGGAAGCTTTTCTAGGTGCCTTTCTGACTCTGAAGAGGGCCCTGTTGGGAATATGCAAGATCTGTCTTTAAGACTTCTAAAAAAAATAAACTAAAGAATCTCATACTATTTTAATATTTTAAACAGCATAACCTCAATGCCATCTTTCAGTAATTTTTTCTTAACAATCAAAGATTCCTGAGCAATTCTGCTGTACTATACTGGCTGCTATCTCTATTATTTTTTTAATTGTTTTTTTTTTTTAGTTGCAGATGGACACAATACTTTTATTTTATTTATTTACTTTTATGTGGTAATGAGGATTGAACCCATTGTACCTCCTGCATCCTAGGCAAGTGCTCTAACACTGAGCCACAACCCAGGCCCCACCATCTCTATTCTTCTAAAGACCTTATCTCATGTAAATGTGGGCATATTTGATAGGAAACTGATGAGATAAACTAACGTGTTTAGGAAAAAAAATTTGTGGTCCTGGGGATTGAACCCAGGGCTTCATGCATGTGAAGCAAGTGTTCTACCACTGAGCCACATCACCAGCCCAAATTATGTGTTGAGGATGGTACTTCTCATGGTGGATATTCTCCCCTGATATAGCAGTTAAGAATTTTTCTCTCAGAGAGCTCATAAAATGGAGGCAGTGATCAGAAAGTGGATTAAAGACCAGATTTACTTAAAAATGTTTCTTTGAGTAGATGGTAGATTTCTAAGGGTTTTAAGGGTAAAATAGAATGAAGAAGAGCCAAGCTTCAATATGGCCTTGTCTACATCCCTAACTGTATGTTCTGTCAGAAGATAACATAATAAAAAAAATGAGTATAAAAGAGAGGAAAAGGTTTAGAGTGTCTATCTGTGGTGTGGGAAGCTGTGAGTAGAATTACCAATGTGATTGAGAGAAAACTATGGATTCCCATTTCAGTGAATCATCTACTACTTTCTTAGACTGAGCAGGGACCAAACATATCAAAGGCAAGTTGCTTGCATACTTGTTTATGCAAACAGTCCCTCTTGGAACATTAAAAGAAAAACATCAACTGTGCTGTCCTGGGAGTTCCTGAATATGGAAAGGCACAGCTTGGCATCCATACAGAGGTTTGGTATATGCTATTCTTTTCACAAGTGGCATGCTCACTTTTTATTTAAAAGAGTTTCTGAATTTTCCCAGATGGTCACTTTTTACATGATACTTTGTAAAATTGGAAGTGTTTTCTAGTTATCTATTTCAGGATAATAGCTTATTCTAAAACCCAGTGGCTTAAACTAAAACAATTTAATGAGTTTGTGAGTCAGAGATTCAGATGGGGTCAGTGAGGTGTGTTTTTCCACACAGTTGGATTCACCTTGCAGCTGAGTTGATATGGAGAATCAAAATGGCTTTCCTCATATGTCTGGTACCTTGACAAGGATAGATGGATTTGACTGACACTAGACATTGACCAAAATGTCTACCTTTAACCTCTCCAGCTATTAGTACTTGAACTTCTTACATATACTGTCAGGGCTCTCAAAGAGTATTCCTAGAGAACTAGGTGGATACTGATGGCCTTTTATGACCTAGCCTCAGAATCACCTAGTATCACTTTTAATTTAATCTTTTGTTTCAAAACAGTTACAAGTCAGCTCATATGCAAGGTAAAAGGGACTAAGACTTCATTGTTCAATAGGAAGTGTGCCAAAGAATTTGTTTCAATTTGATTCATGCCTGTAATACCAGTGGCTTGGGAGGCTGAGGCAGGAGGATCATGAATTCAAAGCCAGCCTCAGCAACTTAGCAAGGCCCTAAGCAACTCAGTGAGAACCTGCCCCTAAATAAAATATAACAAAGGGGCTGGAGATATGGTTCAGTGGTTAAGTGCTCCTGGTTCAATCCCTGCTACCAAAAATCAATCAAACAAACAGAAATTTTGGCCATGATTTTTAAGATTTCTATAATAGTAAATAGGAAAAAAATGACTTTCTACTCTATGACAATGATGACTGAAATTGTAGTCATGTGAGTACAAAAATTGATAGTATATCATCCATAGTCCTGGGAACTGTAAAATATGTTGGGTATGATGTCTGGACTAGTACTTTTAGTATAAGGATTCTTGTTTTCAATCAAGGAGAGAAGGAGAATCACTGATGTTTTTCTTTACTTTTTGGGGGGAGGTACAAGGAATTGAACTCAGGGGCACTAGACCACTGAGCCACATCCCAGCCCTATTTTGTATTTTATTTAGAAACAGGGTCTCACTGAGTTGCTTAGCATCTCTCTTTTGCTGAGGCTGGTTTAAACTCACAATCCTCCTGCCTCAGCCTCCCGAGCTGCTGGGATTACAGGTGTGTGCCACCATGCCCAGTGGATGTTTTTCTTTTTGATGCCAGAACTGGCAGCATAAGTTTGATTGGATTAGAAATCAGTGTGAAACTTTGTGAGAAAAAGGGACTTTTATAGAAAAACCTTTACAGAGGAGTCTTACAGGTGTGTATTTGTGAACTTTCCTGCCTTTCTCTAATGGACACACTTAGGGCTATAGGTAATGTCAAACTGGGAGGTAGATTATATTATGATTAGGATCAAATGGAGCCTGAAAAACAGTTTCATAGAAGATGAGAAGAGATGTGATGAAAATGAGAAAGTTTCCTTGAATGGATTTTTTTAAAAATGTGGCATATGGAACATTACTCAGAGACATGAAAGAATAAATCATGGCATTTGCAGGTAAATGGATGGAGTTGGAGAAGATAATGCTAAGTGAAGTTAGCCAATCCCCCTCCCTCCCCCCCCAAAAAAAAACAAATGCAGAATGTTTCCTCTGATATAAGGAGGCTGACTCATAGTGGGGTAGGGAGAGGGAGCATGGGAGGATTAGATGAATTCTAGATAGGGAAGAGGGGTGGGAGGAAAAGGGAGGGGGCAGGGAGTTAGCAAGGATGGAGGAATGTGATAGACATCATTATCCAAAGTACATGTATGAAGACATGAATTGGTGTCAACATACTTTATATACAACCAGAGATATGAAAAATTGTCATCTATATGTGTAATAAGAATTGTAATGCATTCTACTGTCATATATTTAAAAAATAAAATCAATAAAAAATAAAAAAATTTAAAAAGTGGCTTGTATTTATGAGAGTCAGCAAGGGTAGGGAAGGGTTATGTGATTTTATAAATCTAGGCTTGTGGCACACAAGTGTTTTTAGAAAGTCAACCATAGAAACATGGATGACTAGGAAACAAAAACTTTCTTGCCTTAAGGCAAAGACTTTGTTCTTGTTTAATTTTATATTTGCTGGGTATTAATCCAATTTCTGTCACTGCAACAAAATATCTGGGAAAATCCACTGAGAGGAGGAAAGATTTATCTTGGCTCATGAAATTGCTGATCAAACCCTGGCTGTCATTACTGTTTCTGGGCTTGCAGTAAGGCAGAACGTGATAGCATAAGGGTGTGTTGAAGCAAAGCTTTTTACCTTATGGCAGCCAAAAGCACAGAGAGAAAGAATGGAAATTGACAATGACAAAATAAAACCTTGAAACATATGCCCCCACCCCACTAGTTCCTCCAATTAGAGCCCACCTCCTATTGCTTCCACCATTTCCCAATAGCACCAGAAACTGTGACCCAAGCCTTTACCACAAGACTTGTGAGGGACATTTAAGATCTAAACTGTAACACTAGGTGCTGCCAGTCCTGGAGGGTAGTTTTAGAAGCTGTGGTAGATCAAGATATCAGGGATCACCAGGTTATTCTCATATAAAGATTAACATTGTTTGTTAGGAAGTTTCCCCATTTAGGTTATCCTAGGCATATAACAGGCCCAAAGTACCTGCAGCATATGGATAAAATATATACTTTGCCCTGACTTTCCATGCATTTTGGTGGTAGGCTAAAAATTTCTTCTTACTTTGAGAACTAGTCAAAACTAACTTTCTATTCTGTTTTCTTTTTTTATGTGTGTGTGTGTGTGTGTGTGTGTGTGTGTGTGTGTGTGTGTGTGTGGTGATAGGTATAAAACCCAGGGCCTCACACATGCAAATCACATACTACTACTAAGCTACACCCCAACCCCATCTTTCATTTTTATTATGAAGATACATCTTGTTTTACCGACATTTTAGGTTTCATCCAACAAGGAAACTAGTCCCTTATTTCCCTTTTTTAATAATAGATCAAAATTAATGCAGTGGATCCCAAAAGCCAGTCCTTGAGAAAACAAACCTCACTTGTTGCCTTGGGCAGATGCCATCTGCCAAGAGATTTCTATGAACAAAAGGGTTTGTATAACTTTATTTGCTCACAGAACAAGTACTTCTCTCTGGATTGGATGATTTAAAATCTCCAGAAACTATTAATGCTAATATTTGTAGAATTTTAACAAGCCATTCCTATCAGCTTCTGTGCATGTTTATTTATGTAATATGAAGACCAGGTCCAGTATTCTCTGATGCTGACATATGCCCCAAGTTCTGAAGGAAACACTCTGGTTTTATGACATACCAGCTTAGGACTGGAAATGATTTATTCTAAAGCTATTGCTTCTAACTCATTTGCCTCCCATGAAATGGTTGTCACATGGTGTGATTGGCCTTTCCATTTATTTCCATTGTTTTTTCTCTCTTTTCCACCTATACATCAGGTTCCCTGTGTCTGCTGCTGGGCATGTGGACATGACTCTAGATATTTATTCATTAAAACTCAGGTTAGATTACTGTTAAAGTTACAGAGAAATGTCCCTAATGTTCTTTCTCTCAGCTCTTCCCAAAGCATTTGATTTTCAGAGAAAATGTAGAAACAGAATAACAAAACTCAACAAACCAGAAAACCAGTTGACATTTTGTAGGATGATGTATTCACACGAAAATGCCCTAGCAACAAGGAATCTTGTATCTGAAACTTGATAATATAAAACTTGTTTTGTGCTTTCTCTCTCTCTCCTTTTTTAGGTACAAAATGCTAGCGATTTGCTGATCAAACCCCTGGAAAATTTCCGGAAGGAGCAAATAGGTTTCACAAAGGTACATTTTCTCCATATTTGTAAGATATTTTTAAAAATGATTGAGTTGTTGTTTGAGCTACCACTCTTCACTGTACAATGGTATGATGATACATTTTATGTATCAAAATATGAGGCCACAGGATGCCCAAGTAGCTGGTTGAACAGCAATGGCCAGAAGAGATTAGCATTTCAATCCCTGTCCCTGTTCTTACTAAAGGAGATTTGCCTAACCATTCAGGGCTTAAATATAGAACAAAAAGGTAGAGAATGTTTGAAATAACTCTGCCTGACTGCATAACCAGAGGTGTTGATTTTCTCAAGACACCATATCACATACTCCAATACTGTATAATAAATCTTCTGGGTTGGTTGATCAATATTTCTTTCTTTTTTTCTTTCTTTCTTTGTGTATAATTTTATTTCTGTTTCTCTGAAGAGCACAGACTAATAAATACGTACCAAGAAATAAGGTGCTGCTATATCAAATAGCCATTTATCATTTAATAATATGGATGTATTCTGAGAAATACATCATTAGATGGCTTTGTCATTGTGAAAGTACCATAGAATGTACTGACACAGACCTAGATGATACAGGTCAATCACTTAACATTAGTACTTTGTGCAGTCAAGAGATATAGTAAATACAAGTTATACAAGGTTGCTGACAGCATAACACGGTATACTGTTTTATAGTAAACTTCTTTAATCAACAAGAGTATATTCCAAAGATAAAAAATATAGTAGAGGACTGGGGTTATGGCTCAGTGGTAGAGTGCTCACCTAGCATGTGAGAGGCTCTGGGTTCGATCCTCAGCACCACCTAAAAATAAATAAATAAAATTAAGGTATAAAAAATGCATATCATAGTAAGTACATACAGTTAAATAGTCATTTATTATCAAGTATTAGGTCTCTGGTTTAATTCCTAGGTCCTTGATTCACTTTGAGTTGAGTTTTGTGCATGGTGAGAGATAAAATTTAATTTCATTTGTTACATGTGGATTTCCAGTTTTCCTAGCACCGTTTGTTGAAGAGGCTATCTTTTCTCCAATGCATGTTTTTGGCACCTTTGTCTGAGGTAACTGTAATTATGTGGGTTTGTCTCTGTGTCCTCTATTCTGTGCCATTGGTCTACAGGTCTATTTTGGTGCCAATACCATGCTGTTTTGTTACTATT